CGATGTCCTTTTGTCTGTTTGTTGAAATCACCACACATCCCACATTATTTGACATCGAGCTTTGACAAGAGCACGGAATTGTTCCAAATTTGGTATTTAAAATGCGTGTCCACGTTTTTCTACCTCCTGTTATTCGCTATTGTGATGATCTAGACCACATTTTCTATTGGATTTTTTTCAGTATTTGTAGTTCATAATGGGTTCTACCAGCGGTCGCTCACGAAATTTTGCATAGAGGTGGGGTTAAGATCAGAGTAGAAATCTACTGTTTTTGGATATGATCGCAAAACATTTAGAGGTTGAAATAAAATAAATCAATCGACGGAATTATGCATGGTGCTAGAGTTTAAGTCTGGGCAAAAAATACGAAAAATTCCAATAAAACGGGAATATTTTTAATTCCAAATACACACATACAGCAAAAGGTTGTTTCTGACCGTTACATTACACAATATATACAATCTCATATATCAATGAAGGGGATGTTAGTTGGACCGGTTATAACTCAAGAACGGCTGCACAAATTCTGACAACTCTCACCAATTCAGAATGACCTCTTGACAAGAAATATGAATATTTTTGTAATATATTGCGATATATTTTTTATAACCCGCACCATAGTATGGAGGGTATATTAAGTTTGTCATTCCATTTGAAACACCTCGAAATAAGCATTTTAAACCCCACAAAGTATATATGTTCTTGATAAGCATAAAATTCTATGTCGATTTAGCGAGGTCCGTCCGTCTGTGAAATCACTTTAGCTTCCGAACAAAATGAAGTAGGTTGATAAAATTTTACTCAAATGTATATTATGTCTGCAGGACTTTTGGTATTGAAAATGGGCCACGTTTTGGTATGGCTCCCATATAATGGTACCTCCCGATATTCGGTACTTTGATGATTTTAGCGACATTATTCACCGGAATTATTTCAAATTTGGTATTTTAAGTTCGTAATGGATACTATTTAAGTAAGAATTGTCTCCATTTATTTCAAATGGAATCGTGGTGCAGTTTGTTGCAACACTTATCGTATTGTACATTCGTTGAAATCTGTTTACTACTTCTAATTATGTCAAAAGTTGCAGGTCCACGTAGTTGTATAGACCCTAATATAACTGCTACATTCTGTGTTTTTGAGATTTTAACAGAATTTTTAACAAATTTTATTTTTTTGAAAATTGCCGAATTCTTTCCAAATGGTGGAGGCTACTTACTTACTTGTTTACATATTGAATTGTACATTTTGTAATATTTCTACAATATTTCACCTTACAACACTATGTGTAGGGATTATTATATTCAGGTCGCAATTACTATCCGAATAGAAGCCTATTGTTTTTAAAGATGTTCACGAAATATTTAGGGTTTTAAATGGGCCAAAAAACTAAAAATTGTCTAGAGTTTGTATTTACCTTAAAGTTCACAATTAAGGAGACCTAGCATTATTAGTATTGACTTTTTTCAAAGTAATAGAAATTCCATTTTAATTATAATAATATTATTTTTATCAATGAAATATATCAAAAAACTCTACTAGCTTGATTTAAATATCTCAAGAATTTATAAAAAGTCGTTGCTTCTCGAAATGAAGTTTTAATTGACATCCTTAGAACAATGGATACAATATTTTTTAAAAACCAACCATACATAGTTAGTTTTTTTACAAATAATGTTTAAACAAAATATCAAAGGATATGGTATCGCTTAGATTGCAGTTATTCACTTTTCATCTAAAAAAATAATGAAAATCATTTTTGTTTTCTTTTCTATTTCAATAATCCTTAATCTATGTATCATATACAGTCAAATTTTATTCAAATGTATCCATATTGTTTTTCGGCTTTGGCTAATATTAAGAATTTAATGGCTCATAAAATAATTTGTTGGGTCATAAATACCATTGTAAATTCGCACGCACGCTCATCTTTTGAAGAGCCAATCCCAACAACATTGCCCCCGATAATTCCAACTCTGACCAGTATCGTTGGTCGTACAGGCCAATTAAGAAGACGTTGTGGTGGTGTACAAACATCCCCTCAAGGAATATTTAGATTTTCTGCCAACACAACCAGAACAAAGAAGCATCGTCGTGACCATTTGAACTGCCACCAGCATGTATCGGCCTATTTATAAAGCGATGGAGAAATAGGGGGCGGAGGATTATTAAAGAAAGTGTGAATTATGATAAATGAAATAATAAAGTGGCCATATCCTCTCCCATTGTGGCATTCAATATTCCATTCGAGATTTCTGATAATGTAACTTTTGCTTTACTTTAAGGAGAGCATTTCCACAAAATTGAATAGAATTTCATCATTGTCACATGAGACGTATTAAAGGGGACAAGAAATGGATGATGCTAATATTTTTTCACAAATGGACTAATGAAGCTTGGATATTGTCCTCATCAATCATAATTCTTCCTAATTGTTCTGTCATTTATCAAAAACAGACATGGTTTTTCAATAATCTAAATTTTATCCATTTGATATGCGATTAAATAGCCAATGAAACCCGAACAACATCGTGCAATGCCTCCTTTAAGAAAAAAACTCTTTCAGTCATTTCATTTACCTCATATAAGCCATAAAAATTAATTTAAACTATAAATATTTTGTTTGACTCTTTAAGCCCAGCGTAGTTAATTTATAAAATTCCACCAACCAGAATAGGTTGGTATTGGTAAATACTTCAAAATAATGACCTACTGTCCTGCACATATGTTACCTTTGATTGTCCGTTGTCTATGTCGTGCTGATAGGTATTCGAAACAATTTCACACAAAACTTGTGGTCAGTTTACCCGCTAAATGTAATTTAAGGATCGTCCAAAATGCTACATTTCTGCGCTGTCCTAAAACCTAACCTCATTCAAAATTTCGTGTCGATTGGTTTTTAATTGTAACCTGTAGAGTCACTGCAAGATCAAGGAATGTTTTAATTGTTGGTGTATTTGTATCCCTATGTATACATCTTGAATAGCAACAGGCTTTAATTCTGACCCCAACTCTATCCCCATGCAAAATTTCTTGAGAATCAGACGATAATTTCGACTTGAATATAATATGTTGTAAGATGAAAAAATATTACCAAACGTTAAATTCAATATTGTAAGTCAAATATGGAAAAACCTCATGCGATAAAAAATATGAGAAAAATTTAAATATTAAAAAAATATTCACTTTTTTATTGACATAATTTCATGTCATTTTTTAGATTTTATACTTTTGTGGCAAGAGGTCATTCCGAATTTGTGAGAATTGTCAAAATCCATCCAACCGTTCCTGTCATTCCATTTGTAACACCTCGAATTATACATATTAGACCCTACCAAATATATATATTTTTGATCAGCATAAAATTTTATGTCAACTTAGCGGTGTCCGTCCGTCTGTCCGTCTGTGGAAATCACTCTAGCTTCCGAACGAAATGAAGTAGATTGATAAAATTGTACTCAAGTGCATATTATTATGCTTTATGAGCCATGTAGCTCCACATTATTCACCGGAATTGTTTCAAATTTGGTATTTGAAGTTCGAAATGGATACCACAACCTAAAACAGAAATTTTTCTGTGCAGGTCCACGTTTTCACCGAATTTTTTTTTTTCAAGTTTCGCATTTGAATAGCTTTATGGCTTATGACAAAAGATGCCTATGTAGGCGGCTATATTCGGCATTTTTAATTATTTTAAAATAATTTTTAACGGATTTAATTTTTTGGAAAATTTGTTCCAAATGGTGGAGGGTATTCAAAGTTCCTAACTTACAGCCTTTTTACTTGCTTTTAAATAATTTGCATGCGGTGCGCCTTTCCGTGCTAAGTTGTTGCAGGTTGTCCCAATCTTTCAGTACAGACTGTGATTTTGTTAATTGTTCTGAACCTTTTGGGCATTTTTTGCGGTTTTTATACCACATCGAGTTGTAACTGAATAAAAGCAAGCGAAATTAGTTTTCTTTGGAATAGAACGGGAAATATCGATATTTTTCGACATAAAAATCATTTTTAATCTAGATTTCCGACAAGGATGTATGAATATAAAACCATTAAGAAGAAAACAAAAGCCAAGCAATGCTGACACCCTCTTTGGGATTACAAATTTATTTATATTTGGACTTTTCGTGTACAAAATATAGCATTGGGAGACTTAAATATGGAATCGCATAAACATGACTCGATTCCAGGCAAATAGGGACAATTAACTTGTGCACACACCGTTGCATTAAGTATGTGCTAAAATGCATCCTCTCTGTCCATGTATTGAGCAATTATTGTACAATAATTGTGAAATCAAATCAGAATATATATATGGTCACATCTATGGTCCATGTTTTCCAATTTTAACAGGCATTTCCAAGTATCACACGAATGAACTCTGCAAAATCATTTCTCAATAGGCCCATTTTAATTGAATTGTCTTCCGAAAGACCAATTTCATATTAATTTAATAATTTCATACTGCCTATTATAACGTATTTTGTCATTTAATATGAATTGATATATGTCTTTACATATATATATTTTCATGACAACTAATTCTCGATTAAGAAATCATAAAAAATAATAAATAAAATTACAAGGGATTTAATAATAAAAAAATAATTCTATCACCTATACCAAATTCTTGTAAAATCATCACCTATGATACAAGTCACAAAATTTCCTATAAGGTACTTGTGGCGATTTACATAAATGCATACGTATTTAACGTTTGCCTTTCGGATCTCAAATTTGCCCTAAGCTTTAGTTTTTGTTCCTTGAAAATAATTTTGCATTGTAGAAACTAATGATGTAATGCAAAATAAAATTTCCAACAAAAACAAAAATACATTTTCCTCAGAAATGACCTTCGACGGATTTTCAACTGAACTTACAATTTACTTCATCCTTTGGCATCCGTGGCAAACACAAAATTATTGTTATGATAATAACGGCGAATGCTACTGTCAACCTCTCATAACGAACCACTTTTCTGCTTGTCTTATTTTCAATTACAGATCAAAAGTCAATACTTACCGATAGCGATTGGAAGAAGTTATGGATGCGAGGAGGTATAAATCCCGATTCAAGATTCGATAGCAACAATTTAGATTCCAGCGACAGTCCAATGTTCGAAGACAGCGAAGTAAGTATTATATAATGTTAATATTGAGTGCAATGCAAAAGGGAAGCAAATAAAAAAAATCACACAAAATTGAACGAAACGCCAAGAAAAAGAGGGGAATGTTGACAAAGGAATAATAAGTTGTGTATGTAAAGTAGTTGATTAGAATTGCCGCTGGAGATTATTTAAACGCTTTTTTTTTTAATTTTAGTATCCACGTTTCGCAATATTTAGGAACAGAAATAAAGAAATTAATACAGATTTCAGTGGGAATATTTCATTTGCACAAATTTGATAAGAAGTATTTATATTTCGAGCCAATTTTATTTCACAGTATTTAATTCGAAAAACTACTCCAATTCGAAAAAAAAATACTTTGAGTCAATGTAATAATACAGCTGATCCCGGCTGTGATGTGAACCATGGATTTAGAGTTTGTAACCACCTCAACATTCAATGCCATCAAACCATTTTCCTAAAACTGTACAACGACATAAATATGGCTTGGAGTACTAAAGTTGTCTCGAAAAAATCCCATTGCCAGAAAAACAACCTGTGCAATTTACTGCCACCAAAGTTGTGAAAACGCCAAAAACATGTTGTCTCTGTGCTTTTCTTCAAAAACAAACGAAACGTCACAGTACAGTTTGCAAACATAGCCATTAAAACCAAAAATGTAACCAGTTGCTGTCCTGAAGCCAATGTTACATAAAATAACTTTGTGCTGTGGCTGTGAAATTTTCACAGCACAGCAAGTCATCGAAAATATAAAACTTTCATGTGGATTATAATTTGCAAAATCGCGCTGTACAAAAATAGACACAACTTATTTCATATGCCAAATACGTTCACATTTGGTGAAATTTTCACGTAATGCTTTGAAAGAAGTTATTTTGAGTGAGTGAAAATTGTATTTTCAAAATTTCAAATATCTGTACAAAATATTTTTAATCTAGAATCTGTTCTTATTAAGAATGTGTCCCATATTTTTCCTGACCAGATATAATGGAAAGGGATTATAACGAAGAAAACCCTTCGGAGAAAGGATTTAGAGGACATGAACATAATTATTGGATACCATAAAGTTATACGAGGCCAATAAAAAAACATGTTATTCTTAAATAAATTAGATATTAGCGCCCTTATGCTGCTCATCTAAAATGTGAAATGGTTTCATTTGAATTCCGCATTCGATTATTCATTCTGAAAAAAAAACTTTACACATTTTCGTGTTATTGCTGAGCCATCTAAGATTGCAACAAATTTAATTAATGGTAATGCTTCTATTTACAGTTTATTAATTTCAATTGTCTAAATGGGTTATGGCTGGAATACAAATAAATACTCGGCATTTTTTGCTACTGCTCGGCCATTTTCCAAATCAAATATGCAAAAGAAATTCCCAACTAAATTTCATTAAATTTTATTTGTGAAACAAACTCTTGGTTATGCCAACACAGCCAGCCAAGCGTTGCATAACTTTTGTCATGGATTTATTTAGTTTTGTTTCTTCTTTTGGCGTTCCCAATGTTTTTGTGTGATTTTTTTGTTTTTTGCTTTGTGTTCGTGATATTTGCTGCACAATTCGCAATTAAAATTTATGAAACGTTTTTACTTTTACCGCAATTTGTTCTCTCTTCCCCACCCCCAACCACCATCAAAAACCAACCCACCTTTCTATTTCGTTTCAGATGATGGCGCACAACACGACCGTCCAGTTAGGTGGAACCGCGTTTCTGGTCTGCAAAGTTTCCGGCGTGGATAGAGTGGGTGTAAATTGGGTTTGTTTTAGTCTTTCATGTTTGTCACTGTATTCTCCTTCTCCTCTCTTCTTTTTTTGGCATCATTTATTTGTCATTTAAGTGGTATTGTTATTTTGGTAGCCTTCTTCCGTTGTAAACTAAAATTTTATATTTTTGATTATTTTCCCATTCATTTGTGTTTGCAATGTGATTTCATAAAGAGAAACAATTTATGTGGTTTTTTCTATTTTGGATGCATATTTCAAGTTAAGGATTGTTTAGAGATTTAACACTGAATACATTTGGATATAATTTATTATCAACTAAAATATATAATAATATTTCCAAATACATGACATTTCAATGGTTTTACATCTAGCAAAATTGTTTATTCATTTCAGGGGTAAAATATCATTATAGTCCAAAAATATATACAAAACAAGTAAGCAAAGGCTACAGTCGAGCGGGGCCGACCGTTGAATACCCTACAACACTATAATAAACCATACAGTTTATATAGGCGAAATACTCGACAGAATTCCACAAGATATTGTGACAAATAATAAAAGAAAACCATCAGGTTTCGTTCCCTAATTTTCGAATAATAGCAACTTTAACTAATTTGCTCATTTCCAATTTATTGGTAGATGTTGCACGTAAATGGTCTTCCTAGATCTGGAACCAATATTTCCCAAAGACCTATAACCTCTCAGAAGTGGCAAAAGATTAACATTTATTATTGGTTTTTGACTGAAACGCATCTATATGAGATACAGACATTTGACTATATTCTTCAACGAAATCAGCGTTAACGAAATAGTCGGAAGTGTGTCTTTCCTGTATTTGTGAATTCTCCAAAAAGTCACTGGAATGGACATTTTCGTATTTTGTCTATAAAAGTTGCAAACTCCTTCACACATTGAATATTTTTGGATGGCCATCCGAAACTGCTTGGTTTTTGCAATGTGCGGTAACCCCCATTTAAATGTGCGTGAGGATCGGGCGACAATTTTGCAGTTTTTTGGTCCATTTCAACCCCTAAATATATGGCGATCATCTCCAAAAAGAGTAGGCTTCTATTCTGACCCTCATCTTATCCCCATGCAAAATTTCGGGCCATAAATGCGATCTGTATATGATATCCTGATATCCTTACTACTTAGTTTTGTTAGCTGTAGAAATATTACCAAATGTTTAATTCAAAATGAAAATATGCCAAAAATATGACAAAATTGAAAAAATATGAGAAAATTTTACAAAATCAATATTTTCATCTTTAGAGAGATATTTTTATGCGATTTTTTTAGACGTTTTTTCTTTCCTGCCAAGAGGCTATTCTGAATTAATGAGAACTGTCGAAATCAGTTCAGCCGTTCTCCACATATAAGAGATCTTTCAAGCATATCTTCTTTGATAGACATATATATCGCACATATTTTGCTATATATCCGATTTGTTGGATAATAACATCAATGTAAAGGTCAGAAGTAACCTTGTGATGGCTTTGTGATTTCGCCGGGATTTAAAATATTCACGGTTTAATGAAAAATTTTGATTTTTTTCAACACAAAAGATATGGTGTATTTTACCCGCTAAATATTATCCGATGACCACCCAAATTTGTAGCCTTCTTCCCCGCCCTAAACTCTATCTACACGCGAAATTTCGCGTCGATTGGTCTATAATTGCGACCCGTATAGCTACTTCAAAATCCGAAATTTTTCCAGTATTTGGTCCATTTCAACCCCTAAACATTTGGCGATCATCTCCAAAAGGAATAGGGTTTTATTCTGGTCCAAGCCCCACCTACATTCTAAATTTCGTGAAGATCGGGCCATAATTACGACTTGTAGAGTGATTACAAATTAACATGGACAGACGGACAGACGGACGGACGGACATACATAGCTAGATCGACTCAGCTCGGCGAGTTAGGAAGATCCATATATGCTTTCCTATGTGGGAAACCAATATTTCGAGGTGTTACATAATTTTTGGGCCAATCAAACTTATAATACCCCCAACACATAGTGTTGTAGGGTATAAATACTTATTGTCAAGGTCCATAATTTAAATATCGTTTTTGGAACAGAATTAGAATGAGAAATTTGAAAACCTACATTTTTTATTTTCTCTAAAACACACTCTGATTACGATCGTTATAAACAACAGTCATTACGAGGACATTCGTTTATAGGTTTTAAAAGTAGAGCTGAAAACAGAAGACTTCCTTTGATTAAGATCCTAGCAAGTCAAAATATTCTACAAAATTATTTGTCATAAAATTCTACTATAAGTCGTACTTTGTTTGAATTTGTGTAAAAATCTTCGGCATCATTTTAGAAGGCTGATGTCAAAGATGCCCAAATAATAATTTCCTAGCCAAGTTTCGCATAGATATGGCTAAGGTACTCAAAATAATTTAAATCAGGGAATATCTTCATATTAGCGCTGTATCGAAAGATGGATCTATATTGAATATTTGATGTAAATAGCGTTTCTACATAATAAGAGCTCAAAATGTCAAAACTTAATGGAAAACATATCAAAACTTGAAAAATACTCGAAATCGGGCTTATCCTTACAAGGCGACAGTTCCAAAAAGCGAATCGAAGTGAGCCATTTTCTGTACCAATGATTCTCGATGTTATCCAAAGACCTTTATCAAATTTCAAAGCTCAATTCTAAATGTTTCGAAATATATCTCAAAGTATAGGGGCCTCTTTGTAAATTGTCAAAATTATATAAGGGCCTTAACAACATATGACCTAAGAAAAGAAAAACGAGTACTATCAAATCTACTTCGCATTTTCCACAACTCAGACTGGCTATTGTAGATTGAAATTATAAGAACAGCGAATTGGAAAAAAATGCTAGATTTTTAAGAAGCAAATTTAAAAAAAATATATGCTATTTTATATCAAATACATTAAATACAAAAATTTCTTTTGTTAAGAGACTCAAAATGAAATTTGAGTTGGAATGATTCTTACTTTGACACCTTTCCCAAAAAATTAAGTTTAAAGGGAGATTTTGACTCGGATTGGGTATGTGTTAAATGAACAGTTAACCAGTAAAGAAAGGCTAAAATTGCACGGACCGACTTTATGATACCCTACACCAATGTGTATGTTAAGTACCCATAACAAAAAACGTTTTTATGTGGAATTTATAATAGTATTAGTATTATGGTTTTAAAGCAGATATAATTTTAAGCCGCAAGGAACTAATATATGAACCGAAAAAATTTGATACACTTTTTTCCAGGCTGAATTCGATTGTATGTGTCAAAATCCATTTAATTCGCTCCTATGTTAACGATTGATTCACAATAATCTTGAAATTGGATAATGATATGTATGGGAGCTATATCCAAATCTAAACCGAAATTTGATATATTTCCCCGAATATCTTTGTCACGGAGTGCATAAATATAAATCGGATTATCATTATACATGGAAACTACAGGTATATATCAACCGATTTCCACCAAATTTGACTAATGCTTTAAATGATCGTATGTTCCAAATTTCAACCCAAATTCCTGTTATTTCGCATTTGGCGCACAAAAAAGGCAAATCGGACGAAGACTTTTAAAGTGATGATTTGTTGTTTACTCTTGCACAAATTCACATACTTTTACGAGTTTAACCCTATAAATTATCTGTGCAGGTCTACGTCTTCATATAGCCCCCATATACCGTACCCCCCAATATTCGGCATTTTGATGATTTTAGCGACACTATTTACCGGGATTGTTTCAAATTTCGCATTTGAAGTTGGTAATGGATATTTCAGCCCATGCTAGAAAATTGTCTGTGCAGGTCCACGTCTACGTATAGCCCCCATATAACGGTACCCTCCATATTCGGATTTTTGATGATCTTAGCTACATTATAAACAGATTTTTCTTCAAGTTTCGCATGTAAATATTGTAATAACTTGTGAAAAAAGTTGCCTATGCAGGTCCACGTCGTCGTATAAGCATTCGGTATTTTTAAGGTTTTAACAGAATTCTTAACGGATTTTATTATTATTATTATTTTTTTTTTTTTTTTTTTTTTTTTTGGAAATTGCCAAATTTGTACCAAATGGTGGAGGGTATTAAAAGTTCGGCCCGGCCGAACTTACAGCTTTTTTACTTGTTAATATATATGAATTCCTGCCGTAGACCTGCCTGTAGACTCTTGATGTCTTCTGGGACCTATAGTAGAATTTTATGACAAACACTTTTATGGAATATTTTGACTTCCTACGATTCTGTTTAAATTAAGTTTTTAACTATATTAAAACAGAATCAAAAAGACGCTTTGTTGACTCGCTTGAGGATTAACATTTTTGACCACTATATTCCAATATTGCCGAAAACACAATATTCCTAAAATGCACGGATTCCGAGGAATCTTAACCTGAATCTTCCAAAACTGTGGAAGAGGGTTCCCCCTTTTGCTCCCTATATTTTGGTTACTTTTAGATGTAAACTTTCAATACACCGATATACGTGTCTCCTTTTTAGCCCTATTTTCGTACTCTGCTAGATATTTTAACGTAGAAATATATGACCTCAATTAAATTCCTTGATATTTTGATTAAAAAAGTTATATTAATCTATTATGGTCTCAAATACCAAACTGTGGAACAGTGTATTTTCCTTTTGTATATCTGTTTTTAACTGACAAAAAAGACAAAACTATGCGAAACGAGTCGCATAAGGGTGAAATATTAATTCTACGTTTACAACAAGCGTAAAAGAAGTGACATTGGAGAAATCAACGCTAACGCATTAAAAAATTAGGGATTACCTGATTATAAAAGAGAGCTGAAACCCGAGCAGTGGGCCACAGATCGAAGGGGGTTTCAGTCCTCTTGCCAGCTGACAGTAAGATAGTTTTAAGAAAATCGACCAATTTTATCATAATTCCCCATTTTATTCTTCATTATAACTTTGTAGCATAGAGTTAAGAGCTACAATTAAGTAATTTTAATATTCTATTTTTTATTACAAAAGTACTGTTATATCCACCACATATTTATCTACACATTTTATTATTTTCAGCATTTATAAGATCATTAGGCAAAACTATAAAACAAAGTATAGCTAAATATGTTATTAATTTTGTTGTATGTGATTTATGCATTTAAAATATGACTAAACAGTACCATAGAAATTTTAATAAAATTAAAAATATATATAAAACCACTACTTTTCCCAATATGAATCGCAGTAGTTTTTTATTTTACATTGTCGTACTTGCTTGTGTCTTGATGTGTGCATTTTCTTTACAAAGTTCATGTTAATATTTATTCTTCTGTATACCTCTGTTCCCTTCGGAATAATATTTTAGAATCAAATATCCTGGATACGTCGTAGAGATTGGCATATCCTATCGTCGGGAGCTCAGTTGTACACAAACGATGAACGCTTTGCTATTCTGCATACACCGGGATCAAATATGTGGACACTGCAGATAAAGTTTGTGCAGCGCCGGGATCACGGCATGTATGAGTGTCAGGTGAGTTTAAATTTTATTACAACAGGACTGGTTCTTCCTTTGCATATCTATCTCAAACTTGTGGTGTTTTTTATTTGCTGACACTATGTATTTTTGACTCCGGGGAAATTAGCATTTCTGTTCCGTGTTTTTTTTAATGAAAAATATGGGAATAATTTTCTTATGACATAATGCGACTTTATGAAATATATTCATGATTTCTTTAAACTTATATTATATAGAATGTACTAAGGAAATAAAAAATTGAAATAATTTTCAATAGGACAACGTGTACAGCAGTTTAAATAATTTTGATTAATATTAAAGTTAACACATATGGGGTCTGTTGGTCATCGACATAGATAAACAAGTCATATTATTTACGATTTTGTAATATTTTTTATATGGCATAATTTTAAAAGTGAAGTGAAGGAGAATTTTAATCACTTAATACTTCGAACGTTGTTTTCTGAAAAACATACTTACATATTGATTAGTTTTTTAACATATGATACCATCTATTTACAATCCAAAGTTGAATATGACTCAGAAAATACATATTATAGAAAATCATTATTATAGACGTATTTTCCGACTTTCGGTTAAGCATTTTCCCATATGAACGTACATTATTTTGGTATGTCCCAACCTTATATGGAAAGGTCATTCGTTGACTTGGACATCTATGAAATATAGATCATACACCCAAACATTTTGTTCCAATGGAGTTTTGTCTGAAACTGAGTCGACTTACGCCTGTTAATCCAGTTAAATCTTAAATTACACTAAACACATTACTACATCTCCAGTCGGAGAAATTTGCCCATTGTGTAAATTTGGATAGATTGCGTGGAAAGTTAGAGACACCAGTCTGTTCGTCGTCAGAATTTCAACTTTAGCATGTGACCTTTTATTAATGTATGCCCCATGTAAATTTAATGGAAATTTGATGAAAATTAGTAATAGTTTCATAATTTATGAGAGCTATAATCATTATCAAATTTTAACATTCTCTTTTAATGACGTAACTATGTTGGGACGGGCCAAGTTGGAAGATAATCGAACAATGGGTCAATATTCTCCATTCTGCCTACTATATAAATCTGATGAAAATAATAATTGAAGGAACGAAAGTACGAACGAATTAAAATGAGTTTTTTTTTTTTTTTTTTTGCCTATTTCCAAACTAAATTTAATGTTGGTGAAAATATTTCGATGCGACGAGTTTGGATGCAGATTTCTTCTAATGAGGATATTTCGACGAAACATATCTTAACCGTTATAATAATACCAGTGAGGTCTGATAAAAATGGTTTTTGTACCATAAACTGGCTTTAATATTTGGTTTCCTAAGAGGAAATAAATTAAATCAAATTAAAAATAAGTTAAAAAGCATTAAGTTCAGCCGTGGCCATTTGAAACGAATTTGGAAATTAAAAAAATAGAACCAGTTTGTTCAAATCTTAAAAATACCGAATATATTACATGGAGGTCAATACGAAGACCTGGACCCGCATAGACAATTTTCTGTCATAGACAGAAATTCCCATATAAATTTTAAATATGAACATTTGAAAGAATTCCGGTGAATAATGTATATAAAATCATCAAAAACTTAATATATGGATGTAGCATCATATGGGGCCATACAAAAAACGTGAACTTATATAGCCCATTTTCAATGCCAAAAGTCCTGCCGACCAAACACACATTTGAAAAATTTTATCAACCTACTTCAATTTGTTCGGAAGCTATCATCGTTAAATTGACAAATGTATATTTTGAGATATCCTACTACCAAACACCCAAACCATCGAGTAAAGGAATGCCAAAGTCGGGCAGACCCGACTTTATGATACCCTACACCACTTTGCATATTTAGTAGAACTATCCGGATTTTATGACTATTAAATCATACCAACCGGTTTTCAATTGGAATTATGACTTTAAAGCATCAGATGATGATATGTGTGGGAAATGTATCCAAATCTGAACCGATCTGTATAAAATTTAGCAGAAGCATTTCCATGCTGCATCTGATGCCAGGCAACAAATATCGTTGGTGTGAAGTGCATTTTAGGGATGAGAGGGACTTAAACACAAAATCGGATGAAACATATATATGGGACCTATAGCTATATCTGAACCGATTCTCATCAAATTTGACACACGTCCTTCCATTTCTGTTGAATTTGGTCGCATGCGGCGAAATTCATTCAATTCGTGCCTATACTTACCATTTGGTTCACAATAATCTTGAAATCTTGAAATCGGATAAATATATATATGGGAGCTATATCCAAATCTGAACTGATCTCGATGAGATTTGGCAATGGTATTGCAAAGCTATATTCGATATATTTACCCGAATATCGAACATGCATAAATCGACTCAGAATGTGATTCTAAGCAGATCATCAAATGTCTATGGGTCTATCTCGCTTCCTTCTTTATATTACACACAAATGCACAAAGACATAATACCCTAACCACAGTGTGGTGTGGGGTATAAAAAAAGTTAAATTCAAGTATCTGGATTCAAACGTGTTCCACTTTATACTACAAATAGCAATGAGATCGGTTCGAGAATGTAGTTAAAATTTTCAAAATACCATAAAATGGGTGGAACGGTTTTATGAGAACATGTTGTCAAAATACCGAATATCTGAGGTACCTCTATATGGAGGCTATAGGAAAACATGAATATATACCACACAAGCTAAAACCCATTATAAACTATAAATACCAAATTCTAGACCAACCCTTTGGAAAATGTGGCTTAAATGGTCAAAATACCATATAAGATACCGCTTTATGGGTGCAATATTCTGTCACAAGAAGTAGAACCTGTAACTAATACTTTATAACAAATGTGAAATAATTCCATGAAAATGTTACAAAAATCATGAAAATATTAAATGTAGATCGATATACCTTATTTTCAATACCAACAATCCTAGACACAATACAAACTGTTTGCCAAATTTCAACAGGCAGTCGGACAGATATACATACATACATTTGAAACTAATGTTTTGCAAAAAACTATGTGACCTAGAAAAAGATTTCATGTATAGCCCATTTAATTCCTGTCAAAGAGTTGTCTTGGTTTTTGACCGGTACCACGAGTCTATAAAAAAATGTCGTGGTAATTGCTCCTTATTTACGCCGTCTGTCGCAGCAAAGGAAATATTAAAGAACATTTAGATTTCAGTTTATATCTTGTTATTTCTCCTATATCGGACTATATATACCCAAATGAATTTAATATTTTTATAAAAATTCTAATTTAAATGATTGAATTATGTAATTGAATTATAGAATATAACTTCTATACATACTCGAGCAGGATATGTCAAATACTCATCAAATTATTTGGCAAACATAGACTGACAAAATAGTATATATATAATAATCTGATAGTGTTAAAAAAATGCAGAGCGAAGTAACAGCAAAAATGGATTTCTAAATAGATCGGACGTCGACAGAAACTCCCTTTCCTCAAAAAATCTGTTGGAATTCACTGAGTTAAACAATACTTTTTTGACGGAAACCGCAAAGCAAAGTTCGACCTTAAACTTCCCTTCCATAAAATACGTGTGTAGATCAGAACTTCGTTTTTTGATGTGATTGAAATTTAATATCTAATATTTAAATATATTACTACAATTACATATTTGTGTATATATTATACCTTTTTTATTTTGTTTTTATTTAACAGTATATTTCCTTCATGTCACATTAGACATGGCAAAAAATTGGGCTTAGGTACGTTCAGATTACCATGTGGTGTGGTCATACGACCTGTATTTGCATCCGCCCTTTCCAAGCATAAATACATTTCTTAAAGTTTAAATAGTGTTGCATGGCCCTGCACTGTGTGCGTGTTCGTACGGATAACTTTGTCTACATCTAAGCCTTCCAACCTTGTCCACATATGGGTCGTGTGTGTATGTTTTTGTTTTTGCTTGATAGTACAAAAGGTCAAGACCATTTGACATTTCACAAAAAAACCAAAAAAAAAAAAATCTGCCCAGCCTTTAATGCACAAGGGTTTGTGTGCCACTTTTAACAAATACCCTCTTTGTCCTTTTGGAGTAAGCCAAAAACAAAAAACAAGAAACACATAGCACAAAAACAATTTCTACAGATTGAATTTGGAGTAATTTGCGGATATACAACATTTTCGAATTAGCACAATAAAAGTTCTACCAGTTTCCTTTCTTTTCCAAAATGGTTTGCATTTCCAATTTGCAAATGCATTTCAAGTAAAGTCATTAAAAGGAAATTGTTTCTAGTTGTGACATGAACTGAGATAATCGGAAATGAAAGAATATAAATTGTTTATAAATTTTTCTTTTTCATTTCTCAACCACAATATTTTGTACAGTTGAACACAATGTCTTCGACCAATTTTTTAGTCTATCTGCAACTGTGGTTCGTTGTCAATATTTGGCTATTTTCAAGGTGTTCTTAGTTTTAACCAATTTAAGGTCAAGTTGCAAAATAGTTAGGCTTAATCTTATTATTGTTGTTTTTATAAAAACAATGTTTGTTTATTAGTGGAGAAAGATGGTTTATGTTGCAGGGAATACCTAGGTTTCCGAAAGAGCCACCAATCTTCATAAGCTCCTTTGATTTTTGTCTGTGAAATTCTCTCCGATTTTTTACCATCCACCTTGAAAAGTTTTTGACTCCGTTTGTTACATCCCTAAATTTTCGTCGAAGACCCCATATAAAGTATATATAGTCATGATCAGTATAAAATTCTAAGCCCACATTATTTGATGTAGGGTTTCAAAGTTTTAGGATGGTTTGTATTTAAAATGGGATATATCGGTACACGTTTCGGAATAGCCGCCATATATCCCAACAATCGGTATTTTAATGATTATGTCACATTTTTCCACGGATTTGTCTAAAAATTGGTATTTGTAGTTCAACCCACGAAATTGTTTCAAAATTTGGAATTCAATAAGATTTGGTATATGACAATCCCTGAAGTATAAAATTGTCTATAGAGGTTCCCGTTTTGGTATGCTACCCAAACAAAGGTCTCATCAACATAATGGTTTAACAGCATTATCCAAACGGCCTTACTGGTATTTGTAGTTTAAAGTGGAACACTTTTGTATTCAGCTACTTTTATACAAAAATATTTTCTTTGCCCCAATGGTGGTGGATATTAAAAGTTCGGCAAACTTAAGTTTTTTATACCCTACAAAAGGAAACGAGATAGACCCATAGTTCCTGTTGATGATCGGCATAGAATCACATTCTGAGTCGATTTATGCATGTCCGTCCGTCCGTCCGCCTGTCTGTCAATGTATTTTTGTAAAGAAAGTACAGTTCGCATTTATTGCACTATACAGATGAAATTTTGCACAAATCATTTGCTTGGCCCAAGGACGAACCCTATCGAAATTGAAGATAATCGGTCAAAATTTAGATGTAGCTTCCATATATATATCTTCGTCCGATTTGCCTTTTATTGTACATCAAACGTCTAATATTTGTCCAAATGAGATGGAATTTGGCAATTACGACCGTCTAGGAGCTAGTATGTCAAATTTGGTGAATATCGGTTCAGATATAGCTATAGCTCCCATATATACTGTTCATCCGATTTGTTACATTTGTTACCCACAGCCAAAATATGCACCCCGTAATAACAATATTCAGGGAAATATTTCAAATACAGCTCAGAAATGTATTAGCCAAATTTTATCGAGATCGGTTCAGATTCGTACATATGTATGGGTGCTGAATCTACATAGCAACCTTTTACCACCAATTGTAAGAGAATGATGCTATAAAGACCATGTTACATCATACATTGTTCCATAGTTCAACATATGGTAATCGATGTAGTCCACACGTGCAAGATATGGTTATATTCGTGTTACAATTAGACCAGAAATTGAACTTTCCCCACACAAGTGCGAATAATCATAACTCTAATTAAATGCGAAATGTGTGGCGAATTTTGCTCAAACATAAAGTGTTAAACATTGTGCAACCAGGAAGATAGTTTAGTTTCAGCGTTTCAACTCTGTATTAGTTTTATTATGCCATACCCTTCTTATTATAAATTCGTTTATTTGTTATGGGTAGCTCTACTAAATATGCAAGGTGATGAAGGGTATCATAAAGTAGGACCTGCCTGACTTTTGGGCTTTCATAAAATGTATATTAGAGAAAATCCACAGAACATGTATTGGGTTTAATCTACAAACTTGATTCCAATATAGAAGGACAATTTTTTTATTCCAAATTTGTAAAATTTTGTTCCACTATATTTTTTTTTCGTTATTATTTCAAACAATATACACATACATAAAATGTGTATATGTTTTGAGCAAATAGGGGAACCTTTCTTTCGAAATGCGATACAAAAATTACAGCAAAAAAAAAAGAAAATTTTGTGAAATACCATACCACGGTCACCAACGGATTTAGATCCTCTTCTATTGTAAAGGAAGTTTTATAAGCCCGATAGAACTTGAAATTGTAAAAAATAACACAAAAAATTAAATTTTAATCAATTTTTTTTTTATTCGAAAGATCAATACGTGACATTAACATTTGAAAATGATTTCGGGCATATGGGCACCGCGGCTGTTCTTCACGAAGTGCATTCTGGACGTCCAATTTTTGGCCACTTTTTCGAGCACTGCTGGCCGAATGTCACGAATAACACGAACAATGCTGGCCTCCAAGGCGTCAATTGTTGCTGGTTTATCAGCATAAACCAGTGACTTCACGTAGCACCACGATATAATAGAGAGGTGTCAAATCGCATGTCCTTGGAGGCCAATTGACAGGTCCACTTCTCGAAATTAACTTATCGCCAAACTTTGATTTAAAAAAGACGATGGTTGCGTTCGCCGTATGGCACGTAGCGCCATCCTGTTGAAACCACATCTCCTCCGGATCAATGTCATCCATATTTTTAAACAAAAAATCATTAATCATGGTGCGGTAACGATCCCCATTGACCGTAATGCGAGCTCCGGCCTGAAGAAATAAGGTCCGATGATGCCACCAGCGTGAAAACCCACCATACGGTGCATTTTCTAGATGTAAGGGAATCTGTAGGGTCTCTTGCGGATTGGTCTCACTCCATATGCGGCAATTTTGCTTATTAACAAATCCGTTAAGCCAAAAATGCGCCTCATCGCTGAAAAGCATTTTGCGATAAAACAACGGGTCATTTACCAACTGTTCTAGAGCCTGATTTTCAAAGTAAATTTGGATAATTTCGTAGCGTTGTTCAAGCGTCTATTCATGTTGATTTGTCAGAGTATACTGAAATAAATAAAAAAAAGTTTCATCAAAATTTAATTTTTTGTGTTACTTTTTACAATTTAAAGTTCTATCTAGCTTAAAAAACAACCTTTAGTTACTACCAATATGTGTTTCACTCTGCAACATAGCATTTGTCTTTGCTTACACGAAATAATATCGGGCAGCCAAGTTTTTTATTTCTGAAATATCAAAACGAAAATTATTGTAATTATCACAACTATTATAATTCTGCTCTTTTAAATTAATGAAAATAATTATGTTATTTGATATATGCGCAAATAATTAAAATTAAAATACAAATTTTAATGTAATTTTATCTGGTCAATTTTCAGGTTTCAACACCCACTGGCATCATATCGCATTTCGTTAACCTTCAAGTGGTTGTGCCAGAAGCATTTATTTTAGGTTCTGGCGAATTACATGTCGACATGGGATCAACAATCAATTTAGTTTGCATAATTGAAAAGGTGAGTGAAGTAATTACTGTGTTAATTTATGTGTCTATAGTTCAACAATTTGACATTTGCAATATTCGCTATCAATGGTATATATTGCTATTTATATATATATATATATATTAATTGCAACAACAAAATGCCAGGACAACCTTAAGGGCACCGTTTGTAATAACATGCGTCTTATAATTTATTTAGGTTTGTACAAAAAAAAACCAATAATTTGTACAAATGATAACATAAGATATGAGTGCGAGTGAAGAGTGCAATTTTGTCAGTCAAAGATCTTGGAATTTGCAAATTCTTATCGGGAACAATTTATCTACAAGAATTATTCAGAAACAGCGGCTGATTGAAACTCATCAGTTTTGTGGCCGATGTAAAAAAATGTTTAAATATTTCAGGAAATAATTTTATTAAAACAATAATTTTTCAGATAATAAGCATTCGCCATTGCATCATTCCATTTAAAGACCGTTGCTTTTCTTCTGGTTTTTATTGAATTATGTTCGATAAATTTTTAAAATATTTAAACATAAGAGAGAAAATTCACTCATTACATATTATTGAGTAAATTTTACTAGTGTTGGACCACCTCTTTACTAGTGTTACCTCTTCTCAAAAGGAACTAAGTTCGGAAATTCGTTCTTTCATTCCAAATAGTTCCTAACTTTCTCAATCATTTGGTCATCCATATAGCACTCACCATACATAGTATGGAGGGCATATTAAGATTGTCATTCCGTTTTGAACTCCTCGAAATAAGTATTTTACACCCTACACATATTATTGATCAGCATAAGAATCTATGTCGATTTAGCCAAGTCCATCCGACTTTCTGTCCGTCCATCTGTAGAAATAACTCTTGCTTCCGAACGAAGTGAAGGATATTTATAAAATTTGGATGAGATGCGTTTTAGGACCGAATAATTTTTAGTATTGAAAATGGACCACAAGGTTTACGTTATGGTATAGCATCCATAAAACTGTACCGGAAGATTTACAGTATTGTGGGTATTGGGATTGTGTTTTCAGTATGTGGAAAACATAATTCCAAACAACTGTTCAACTATGCCTCACAATAATTGATATTTTCACCATTTTTTCACAGCAATTGCTTTAAATTTAGTACCTGGATATTGCAATGGGTGCTCCCTTCAATGACAGAAAATTACTTATACACGTTCACGGTTCACGTCTTCGTATAGCCCCGTATAACACAAAATTGGTATTATAAGTTCGCAATAGTTATCGCCTTCACCACAGATATTTGGCTACAACAACTATACCCCGATTCCTGGTATTTGAATAATTTTCGTAGCATTTTTCATGGGAATTATTTAAAATTGTAAAGATTATTTTAAATGAGAGAAGTTATTAAAGGTGCGGCCCCGCCAAACTTATGCCATGTTTACATTAGAACTTTTTGCAGGGTTAATCCTACTTCAAGAGGATTTATTTGAATTATTGGTAATGGATATGACAATTTTAATCCAAATCTAGTGGGTTAACCCATTTATATATAAAAGTATTGTTGTGTGCTTTTTTCACTTGTTTAAAATTATATTCCCATTAAAAATTACTTTGATATGTTATACTTTTGTATACGCGGGGACAAAAACAAACAAAATAAAAATCCAACAGCGACAAGATAAAGTTATGAATCTGTGGATGTTTGAACTAGATAAAGAAATGCTGAAACTACATGCCAAAATTTTGCGTGTGTACTTAGATTGAGCTTTTATATCTATAAACGACGAAGAATGAACTCGCCCCTCTCCTCTGTCTCTTTCAAAAAACCTTAATTCTCTTCCATGAATTTGTTCAGCATGTGGCTTCAGTGAAAATAACGGAAGGAACTAAATAAATGAAAGAGCATGATTTTTATTTTACTGAACCGTCCCTAGAACTAGTTCGTTCCGGAACAACACTACTTTTTTTGAAATGAAAAGGAAAGAAGAACTGTCTACGAAAGAGAGCTGGCCTTGAAGATTTTTTCGGCCTGAAAAAGTGAAAAAAACCGTTTGTGGTAAAATTCATATAAATATTAATCTGATTAGGAGCGTTAAGCGGGATGTAACCAAAGAGCTAGCCACAAACCATCGGTTGACTGTATCGAATGTTATGACTAAAATCACAGGAGAAACTCAAGTTCAGGTAGGGGCTTAATGCAGGAGCGAGTTAAAAACATATCCGATCTAGGAACCGAAGAGAGCTAAGGTAAGAGATTCTCGGGTTACAATTTGATGCACTTTCGGTTCACTGTCGACTCCATTCACCTGTGCTGAATGAATGCGATTATTTTCTGAATTCTTAAAAACAAATTGCAATAAAAATAGTATTGCTCAACGGGACGAAACGACATATAAATGTTTATATGCCCGAATGATTTGGACTATGTGTTGGGGGTATTATAAAATTTATTGGGCCCACATGGGAAAGTATGTATGGATCTTCCTATGTCGCCGAGCTGAGTCGATCTAGCTATGTATGTCCGTCTGTCCATCTGTCCATGTCAATTTGTAATCACTCTACAGGTCGCAATGGAATGGAGATGGCCAGAATAGGACCCTATAGTTTTTGGATATGATCACATAATATTTAGGGGTTGAAATGGATCAAAAACTGAAAATTTTCCTGATTTTGCAGTTGCTCTACAGGACGCAATTATGGACCAATCGACGCGGAAGTTAGTATGAGGCTAGAGCTTAGGGCTGGGCAGAAGTCTTCCAATTTTGATGCTCATCGGATAAAATTTAGTGGATTAAATAGACCATAGCATTTGTGTTGAACAAAAGTCAATTTTTCCATTAATCCGCGAATATTTTTAATACCGGCGAAATCAAAAATAGACGAACAGGTCAATTATGACCGTTATGTAGATGCCGATAGTAAATATATCGCGAAATATATACAATGTGTATCCACAAAAGAAGGTGATGTTAGCTAGAATGTTTATATCTCAAGAATGGCTGGACCGATTTTCACAAATTTGGTCAATTCCCCTCTTGTCATAAAAGTATAAAATCTAAAAAAGAAACGCATAAAAAATGTCAATAATGATGTTAATATCGATTTTGTAGTATTTTGTGACATATTTTTATTCTTTCATATATTTTATGCATGTGATTTTTTCAATTTAACTTATAATATTGAAGTGTACATTTTGTAATATTTTTTTCACCTTACAACGCAGGTTGGGGTTATTATATATAGATTGCAATAATCGTCCGATCCTCACGAAAATTTTCACAAGGATAGGGTTAGGTTCAGAAGATGTCCGCAATATATTTAGCGGTTGAAATGGGCCAACAAATATTCCTGATTTTGCAGCCGCTATAAAGGTCACAATAGAAACGAAAGAACACGAAATCTGGCATGAATTTAGAGTTTAGGACAGCGTGTAGTATGGACCACTACTTTTCCATGAAAAACATTTCGATTCTACCGAAACGCTGAAAATAACTTGCATGAGAAATCAAAAATACACAAAAGGCGAACTTCTGGATTTTTATGCTGATTTCGTTGACGATTATAGGCAAATATCGTAGACAAGCAAACGTCTATAGCCTTTGCTTACTTGTTTAATAAATGTATTTATTTCAAGGCATACGCCGTGGCTCGGACAAGAAACTAGAAATTATGATATGTTTATGAAGTTATTTATGAACATATGGTTTTATAGGCCCGCTTTTTCACTGGCATTGTTTTCCCATTTTACGCCAAAATTAAGTAAATTTTGGTCAATACTAATACTTTGTCTAGATTTATCATAATTTTCAAGGCTGAGGATATTAAGCTCTTGACAAAGTAGACTAATCCATTTTGAGTTATTCTGGAAAATGCCTTAATGTAAACAAACATTTTTAAGGCCTGACACATAGAAATTTCTGATTTGGGATTGATATTTGTGTAAATAGCTTGCTTGGGTATATTCCAATTTCTCATTTAAGATTCTAAAAGACTTATGAATAAAGATATGGTATTAGAGAGTTATGTTTAAAATAACCTACGTACTTTTAAATCAAACTTCAAAACAAATAGTGCTATAAAAGACACGTGTTGATCGATCCAATAGTTTTGTTAGCCCCTGCGTCAAATCTTGAATTATAACTTTCAAGCTCAAACTTATGGTGGGTGCTTTTTAACATTTGAAATTATTCGTTCGTACTTAGGTATGTGTTTGTGCGTGTATACACATCTATATATATCAGATTCACTTATAAAGCACAACTTTCACAATGGACCGATGTCAGAAAACTTTTTTTGCTTATCACAAACAACGTTGTGAGTGATTGTGAATGTCTCTTTTCCTTTGATGAAGTCAACAACTATGCATGGAGCGTTGTCTTGTGTATGAGTATGACAGGGTCGCATCTTCCCGCCGTAGTTTTGAGATTCATATTCCTTTTATTATTTATTTGGTATTTTTATTGTTGGATGTTTCTTCTGTCATTGTTTTTACCGCACTCATTGTTATGCATGAAAATCAAAGAGGGTTCGTTTGCGAGAATCGCGAATCCGCAATATTTTACTTCAGCATTGGTAAAAGTTTGCAGATTTTTATAAACTAAAAGAAACACAAAAACCTTATCGTCCTCGTTTGCCAACCCCTTCAATCTTTCTTTTTAGCGCACTCCCAACCTGAATATGTTTTAGTTTACTGGCAGCCACAACCCATTCTCCTTTTCCTTTCCACCGCCAGCACAACGAATGAATCATTGAGATATGCGTCTTGCTTAGTGGCGGTATGAAGAAGCAATGGGTTTAAATATATATATATATATATATATACTCTGTTATTATTTTATTATATCCGATGTGTTGGGTTGGGATTGGGATTGGGGGCTTTGGCAACTACTTCAGTTTCTATCCGTTCGCTTTTTTCTTCTTTGTTTGGGCCAAGAGCAAAAATTATTATGCAAATTGATTGTTCTCTTTCATATGGAAATTGCTTTCAATTTGAGTTTATCATAGTTTTGTTGTTTTGTTTAATTATCTAAAATAAATACTTAAGGAAAAAACTGAATTATGTATGAACATTTTTAATGCATATGAGCAAGCAAACGTGAAAAGTTCTAAATCAAATTTAAGGTGGGGTTATTCTGCAAATTTATTTGTGAAAATATGCCCTTGAGAGGGTTTTATTTCAAAGATTTGCATTTGTGTACTCGTACTTACAAGACTTTAACAATTTGGGGGACTGCTTATTTGTTGTGCTTTAAAACAAGCTTTTCTATCGACTTAATAGAGTTGAGAGAATTTTGATGTATTTTTTTATGGGATTGTTTAACACATATTTGGCATTATTCGTGTATATAAATTGGTACGTCGGAAATCGTTTGTCGGAAATCGTTTCAAATTTTAGAATAAGTTTAGATTTCTTCGAACTGGTCGCCGTTGGCGCAAATTATGACCTTCAAACGGCCAATGAAACCGCTTGTTTGATGTGATCGACAGTTTGGTTTTTTTAGTGCCAACCTTGCTTCCACAACACACCAGACACAACAGTCTAACGGATTGCTATCCGGAGATTTTAGTGGCCATTGTGCGCTGGAAATTAAGCGAGGTACCTCATTTTGTAACCAGTCTTGGGTGGCGCGTGCTAAGTACGACGGTGTTAAGTCCTTTTGGAATGTCCAAGGTCTGCGGCCAAAATATTTGCATACGCCCTCAGAATATTTTCGCGATAATATTCGGCATTTATTCTGATGCCACAGTCGATTAATACGAGCGGAGAGAGACCATCGGCTATTATGGCGGCCCACACCATCACCATGGCCGGCGCTTGAGTTCTGGTGTCCAACCGAAGGTGCACACTTTAAGCTGACTTCTTTGGCAAGTAAACACGATCATTTTGTCTGTTTATAAACTGCTGGACACCAAATGTTTTCTCATCGAAGAAAACCAAATTCGGCATTTCATCACTTCCGGCCAAGCTAAGAAACTCTATAGCTCTTTTGAGTCGATTTTCTTTCTGTTGCGGTGTAAGTTCTTGCACTTTTTGGAATTTCAATGGCTTTTCCCCGAGCTCATGTTTCAATATTTACCGAATGGAATATTGCAATATGTTCAGCTCACGAGCCATTTTTCGGCCTCTGCAACGCGAGTTTCGATCAAGTCGCTTTTTTACTTCTCGAACCATTTCTGCAGATGTTGCTGTTTTCTTCCGTCCACTTGTTTGACTTCGGGCTACGGTAACGAGCGATGGTAGAGTATGAGACACAAAAATTTATTCACATTTAAATGCTGGAGTGCTCTAATAATAGCCACTTGTGGTTTTCCAGCCAAATATAAAGAAATCACACTATTACGCTTGATTTCCATCAGGAATAACTTTTTTTCTGGAAACTTCTCACCAAAATTCTTGTAAACAATTTAATGAGATATCACAGGAATAATTTTGACAGCTGTCGGACGATTGGCTTTTAAATGACAGCAGTCTGAAGTTGGTTGCAGTTTTTTCATCTCACCCTGTATATTAGTTCATTGGGATCACTCTATATTTAATTGCAATTCTGAAAATGTGCCAATAATGTTTGTGCATTTTGGGCTACTATTTAGCAGGTAACTATATAAAAATTTCGAATATTTTGAGTCTTGCATTATCAAATAGGAATTTGAAAGGTAGATTTTGAAATCTATTGATTCCCTTAATAACTCGTTTCCATAAAATAGTTTTTATGAAGATTTTTCTTGTTTTAAATGCGAAATGTAAATTGTGGCCAATAATGCACAAAATTTCATCAAAAAATAATGCAGTTTTAATATCAATATGAATATAACCTTTTCGGAATTGTATAGTTAACATTATTAAATTTCTTTTTCCCATATTTCCCACACGTCGTATTAGGGTGTAGTAACAACACAAAATAAGGTTTATCATACGCCCATAGGGACTATTTCCAAAAGACGAATAATTACATTTTATTTGATATTTGTGCATAACTGCGTCTGAAATAATACATATATATTAAATTGGTAAACGATAAAAATAAATATAAGATATTAAGGATATTGGGAGTTGTAATGTGAGACTACGGGGAAATATTTTATAAATATGCAAATTGAAAATGTAGACTGAAGATTATTATACAATATAAGGACACTACAGATCTTAACGCCCTCTTATTATATCCAAAATTTCTAACCTTTTAACAAATTGTTTGCCATTTCAGAGTCCAACACCTCCGCAATATGTTTTTTGGCAAAAGAATGAGCGATTAATTAACTACTACGATTCCAGACGAGACATTTCAATTGAAACGACACCGGGTCCCCGAACCCAAAGTCGTTTAATAATAAGAGAACCACAGATATCAGACTCCGGGAATTATACATGCTCTGCGAGCAACACAGAACCAGCCAGCATATATGTATTTGTGTCAAAAGGTAAGTTAAGTCAACCACAGATTTTACGCATTGAAACATTTTAATTGCCGATAAAAATAAGGGACTTTTTATAATTTAAAAGTATGTAATCAACTATTTGCTAGGGACTGAAAAATACTATGCCACGTGACTTTACCAAAATATGGCTATCAAGTTCCTTGGAAATCGACTTTTCGGGAATTTTATTGTTTGTTTCTTGAAGAACTTGAAATATAAATACTTATGATATTATTACCTGGAAAACAGCTAAGATTACTTCTTCGAATAAAAAACAATAATTTTTCATGAGTGTTTGGGAGGAATAATCATTACGAAAGTAAGAAATTTTCAAATAAACGGACATGGACTGAGATTATATATCTGGCGGAATACAGACTGCTACGTTTTAATTTATTTTTAATTTCTTCTCAAAATAAAATTCCATAAAAATACATATCTGTGGTTAATGTATGTTGTCTCTCTTTTTTATTTCAGGTGATAATATGGCTGCAATATCGAGAAGAAAAACATCATCTGCTGATCGTATCGCTGCCATTTTTATGTACGTTGTGGCACCATGCGTTTTGGTGAACACACTAGGAATGCGGTAAGTCGAAATTACAAGTAAATATATTCCACACTTTTTTCATGGGACAGTAATTATACCCGACCCAAAATTTTGTACACGGTGTTATATATTGGTCATTGGTTTGTAACATGCAAACGGAAACACATAGTTCCTTTTTATCATCTACATAGAACCTTTTTTGAATCGATGTATACATATCCATCCGTCTGTTCATGTGTTATGTACGCAAAATACAAGTAGCATTTATTGTTCGATTGCAATGAAATTTGGCACAGATCATGTGTTTGACCCGAGAGCGAACGCTATTGAAATTGGTGATAATCAGTCCAGATTTACATAAAGCACATATGACCGATTATGTAAATGTGTTCGCATGATTTCAAGTTTATTGCGCACCAAAAGTATAATATACTAGCTGAACCCGGTGCGCTTCGCTACCCCTTTTGATTTTATATGCATTCAAAATTTTATTTACGAATATATGTTGGTTAAAAAAAAAGCAAATTTAAAAATTAAAAAAAAATTATTGCACTACTTTAATGCGTAAATAACCAAAACCATTAGAAAAGCAGTAACATGACATACATACACGGAGGGTTTGTCCTTCGGATTTATTTATTTCAAAGCAAATACCAAGCGTGCAGTAAACTGCAGTATTTCGAAGTTGAGTGGCATTTCTATTGCAATTAGTGAATTCGAGATAGCAACATACTTCGCCGTAATAAGCGTATTTCAAATCAATTGTTGTGTTGTTTTTTAGTGTTAGCCTAAGGCGTTGTGGGTCAATGGTTCTTATTAAAATGATATCCCAATCTGATCCGATTTAAATGTAATTTAAAAAAAAATACTTTTACACCAAACTCCGCTACACCTTTCATATTTCATTGAAATTGGTGCGTCAAATATGTGAAATCGGCCGATAATATATATATGGGAGCTATATCCAAATCTTAACTAATTTCCAATTAATTTGTCACTTTTATTATTGTAACCAAATTCCGCCACACATTCTGAATTTCATTGGTATCGGTCATATATATCATGTTTGGTGCATAACATATATGAAATCGGCCGAAATATATATATGTTAGCTTTATCCAAACCTCAGCTGATTTCAATATAATTTGGCAATTTTTTCTGCTGCCAGATTTTGTCTCTCTCGCATTGGGTGCATCAAATATGTCAAATCGGCTGAATATATATATGGGAGCTATAATCAAATCTGAGCGTATTTGAATATAATTTGTCAAATTTATTTTTGTACCAAATTTAGCCACTCTTGCCGAATTTCATTGGAATCGGAAATACGTATCGTGTTTTGTGCATCAAATATGTGAAATCGGCGGAAAATATATATGGGAGCTATATCCAAATCTGTACCGATTTTAATATAATTTGACTAATTTATTTTCTAATCAAAATCCCGTTACATATTCCAAATTTCTTTGGAATCGAACATACATATCGTGTATGGTGCATAAAATACATGAAATCGGTCGAAAATATATATGAGAGCTATATCCAAATCTGAACCGATTTTAATATAATTTGACAAATGTATATTTGTTTTAATTTCCGCTACACATTCCAAATTTCATTGAAATTAGAGATACATAGCGTGTTTGGTGCATCAAATACATGAAATCGGTCGAAAATATATATGGGAGCTATATCCAAATCTGAACCGATTTCAATTTAATTTGACAAATTCATTTTGGCTCCCAATTCCGTTACTTATTTTAAATTTCATTACAATTGGAAATTCATATCCTGTTTGGTCTACAAATACATGAAATCGGCCGAAAATGTATATGGGAGCTATATCCAAATCTGAACCGATTACAATATAATTTGGCAAACTTGTTTTTGTTACAAATTCCGTTACGTATTCCAAATTTGGAGACTGTATCTTCAACCAATCAATAGATATGTGAATATAAAATCTAAATTTTTGGGAGGTACCTCCGATTCTGATGCTATATCTCCAGTTCCAAGTGGAAATTCAAAAATGTATATAGCCTATGTTACTTTCAGACGATGTTGCAATATATATGGAAATTTTCAGGGAAATCTATTCAGCGGTTTTCGAGTCCATAAATTACAAACAAACAAACAAACAAACATACAAACATTTTCCTCTTTTATAGATATAGAAGATACCAAAATTTGATAAATTTTAGCACACACAACAGAATTCAGCCTATAAATAAATATGTTTAAATCGATGAAAATCTGCTAAGATTTAGACTTAGTTCCCATATATGTGTTTCTACCGATTTGTCCACCACATCCGTAAACTTCACTCCATAACAATGATATTACGCACAAGATATAATAACGTAAATTGGATGAAGATATATATGTGGGAAATATATCCAAATCTGAACTGATCTCTATAAAATTTAGCATAGATATGCTATGCTGTATCTGATGGTTGGAATCAAATATGGTTGTTGTAGAGAATGTTTTACGGGTGTGAGGGAGTAAAGTACAAACCCGGATGAAACATATGTATGGGACCTATAGCTATATCTTAAGCGATCTTCACAAAATTTGATACGCTTTTTTCCAGGCTTAATTTGTTCAATCCGGGCTTATATTATACATTTGGTGAACAATAAACTTGAAATCGAGTGAATGTATATGGGAGCTATATCCAAATCTGAACCGAAAAAATTTGGCAAATGTATTTTTGAGCTGTCTTTGATATATTTCTCCGAATCTCGATGTTAGGCAGTGCATATTACGGCTCAGCAAGACAAAAAGTAACAAATCAGAAGAACAATATATATGGGAGCTATAGCTATATCTGAACCGATTTCGATGATATTCAGCATACTTATTTCCAGGCTTAATTTGGTAGTATGTGCAAAATTCGGTTTGGCGGATATTACACATTTGGTGCACAATGAAAGGCAAATCTGGTGAAGATATATATAGGAGCTACACTAAATCTTAACCGATTATTTCAAATTTATTATTATTCAAAGAGGGTTCGTCCTTGGGCCAAACAAATGTTTTGTGCGAAGTTTCATCTTGATCGGGCAATTAATGTACTTTATTTATAAAAATACATGGACTGACGGGCGGACGGACATACATAAATCGACTCAGAATTTGATTCTATGCAGAACATCAAAGGAACTATGAGTCTAACTCGCTTCCTTCTCCATGTTACAATTTAATTTCTATAACAAAAAAATATTCATCTATAATTTGTACATTGCATGTCTTGATTACATTGTACAATTCATCATTTTATGTCGAATTGAATTGTTTTTTAAACATTACAATCGAAAGTATATGTATTTTTTTGTAAGATACTCTTTTTTGTTTCATATGCTATTTGACTTTCACGCACTAAAATTAACATTTTACTATAATGTCTCGAGTATAATTAAAATTGAAATTTCAATATTATATTGCAAAAATATATGCTAACACTATATCATAATATGCCTTTCTTCTTTTCTCCCATTGCAGGCGTATCTTTCTTACTTAAGACTTTTTCGTGTAGCCATCTCTAGATGAATGCAGTGTTAGTAAATTAAATCCTATTTAAGTGAAATTTACAAATGTTAAGGTTTAATATTAAAATTTAGTCATGTATGTACAAAACTAACTAAAATTTATGTATATTTAGCAAATATTGTAATTAGTGTTTATCTATTGTTTAAACAGTTAGCAAAACCCTGTCACACACACACACACTCGTACCACTCACTTACGCACACAAACATACAGACATACAAACAAGGCTAAAATAATAAAAAGTATATGTAAATTTCTAGTAAAATACAAGCAGTGTCAAAAATCACCACATGTCCACAATAGATTTACTCAACCTAATAAAATATTGAAGAAACGTAAAAAGAATATTATAACTTAATTAATTGAAAATTGATTGGTTTTATTCCATGCTTCCATCCATTTCTTCTCTTCGAAAATATTTATTCGGATCTCCACTTCCATTTCCGCCTCCCAACTATAAACTCGTGTACAGTTCCGCAATCCAACCGTTTCCAGAAATGTTGTTAGCTCCGTTACCAGGCATTCGTATTTAATTACATTTAAATAAATTTGCCGCATACCTTTTCAGTTGAATATCTTTTGTAAATACTTTCGGTATAAATTTAATCTAAGATTTGTTTGTTTAAGTGTGTGTGTTTGCAAAAACTAAAGACAACAAAAACAACAACAACCACAACCTACAACAAGAAGAATTTGTTCGGATGCATTTTTATAATTACAATCTAAGTAAGTTCTAGGCAAACACTGTGACATTGCAAATAGGCAACTGAACAACAATTGAAAACAAACCAAACGACCGACCGACAGACAGACAGACAGACCAACCGACCCAACAACAACCAATCAAGAAACACGAAAACTAAATTAAAATTGAAATCATACGAACGAAATGCAGCATTAATTATGGATAGATATTAAAATGCAAGCACACATGTATGCAAGTGCGTATATATATGTATGTGTGATGTCAGCGTATGCAAGTGTAAGGATTTTAATAACTAATGCCCTAAAACTTTTGTATGACAACAACTTTGTTGACGTTGTTGTTCGGAAAATATTTCGAAATGTACTTCTAATGATAATTTAAATACCACAGATAGAAATTTAAATTAAATTGCAAATTCATAAATGGAATTAATTTCACAACAACAAAAAAAAAACAAAGTACACACATATGTATGAGTTTTTATATACAGACACACACATATTTTAAGAGAAAATTCCGAAGCAAAGACATTTCCATTCCAAATGCGCCAACCATAACATTAAGGCTTGGGGTTTAATTTAAGAATGAATAATGAAAAGTGAAAATAATAACAACAACACCAAAAATAGAATCTGTCATATTCATAAATAAAACTACATTATTTATGCTAATGAGAAAATGTAAACTTGTGGAACCGAAACAAAAACCAAAACACAACAAAAATAAAAACCAAACAATTTAATGGCTCGAGTGCAAATGATATATGAGCTGACACGCGAATATGGGCTTGGCAAACTGACAAGAGAGAGAGAGAGAAAGAGAAAAAAACACATTTTGTCACATAAAATCAGCAATCAGTGATTTCAAGGCCAACGAAAATTGGAGAGCTATTTCGCTTCGTGACCTGTTGAGTGGGCATTTAAACATCGATTAAAACTAAACCTAGTTCTGGTGAGAACTTTGCAAATAGCTAATCCAATTTTATGTAGGCAATCCCATTTAAATAGAATTCTATTTTCTCAATACAATAAAAAAAAATATTTCAATACGGAGAATCTGCGACATTTAACAACAGTTTCCGATTAATACTAATTTTTATGTATATTTCGTTTAGATAGAAAATTCTGTGTGCTCAGGAAAATGTTTGATACCCAAATATGATTTCAATCGTTTAACCTACTGAGAAATTAGTTTATTTTAAATACAAGACATTCATAAACGATATAAACGCAACAATCCTGCATTGTTTTGCAGTTACAGTACGACCATCTCTTCATATTTCAAATTTCAAGTTATGTAAATCGTAAATATTTTATTATATTGAAAAAAATGTCAAATTTGACACAATGTCATGGAAAATATATAATATGACGTATTTGAACTTCTGATCGAATTTACAAATAAGAATAGAACTTGTAATGTTTTAACTAACTTTTCCAGCCGATAATAACAAAAATCCGTAACTTTTAAACGCAAAATTTTCATGGACAACGTTGTATCTATCGACTGGTCTTAGTGACTACTTAATCGGTCGATTCTCTAACAGGAAATCGCACTATTAAGGCAACATTCGATATCAAACCACACTTGTCGTAATTTATGCAGTTGCTTAAGGACAATTATCCTTTAGTAGACAACAAAAGGAGCATTATAGCAGCCTTTAAATATTTGTACTAAATTTTAGGGTTGACTTTTTGTATCGGAGATGTCAGTTTCTACAGGCGACCGTCGCAATTCAAATTGCTTTTCTCTCACAAGATTTCTTGCGACATGGCTTTTCTTAGGCAGACCGTACGACTTTATCCTCGCCAGGCTTCTCTCATTGCAACGAAAGTAGAGGGAGCAACTAGCTGACAGAAATATGACCTCTTCAAGGAGGCTGTGTCTTCTTCTACACAGGATTCAACCTTAAATATATCACTTTTAATTGCGTTATCATTCAGTAAATTTTTCTACCTTTCTCTGTGATAAGGGATCAAATCGAGGTTTTGAGCAGACATAGTTATTTAATTTACGGTTAAGACAAAAGTTTTTTACGGGAACCCTTTTTTACTAGTTAGCTTTTTTCCTTGTAACAGGATACAACGGATAGTTTTCAACTATTCCGCTTCGACCTCAATTACATTCTCTCTAGGATTTGGAATCGGAGTTACACATACATCCTGATTTCCATCATAGACACGTACTTATAGTTTGCGTGTGTAATGTGTTGAAATGCTTAATGTGAATATATTCATCTAGTTCTAAATAAATCATTTAGCCTCTTACCTTTGACAGAAAATGTTTTCGAATACGAGTACCAGTCCATTACGGAAACATCTCAATGTTGAGAAAATAGAAGAAGAAAAACATTTCATATTTTACACAAAACAACAATAAATTAATTTGTAAAGCATCAGAACCACGTGCCGAATTTACACATGTATTCTTGCGGATATATTTCATGTTTACTGTCATTAACATAAATTATGGCGCTACAAATCACATGATTTATTTTACATATTTTTTACTCGCATTCCTGTTCAACACACTCAAATACTATCAATTAATTTACGCCATTAATATTTACATCATTAATTATTTAAAGCGCATAAAAACCAGCGCAACCAGCATAAGAGTGGTTGGTGCAGAGGTCATCGCTATATATGTTTGTATCTCTATAAAGTGACGTCATAGATATGTGTTAATGTTTTCAGCCATTCCTATCTGTTACTTGATTTGAATTTACTTAACTCATATTTGTTATTATTGTCGATACATTCTATATTTATTGTATCATTGCTGATTAAAAATAATCCGGGGCTAAGGGGTTCTACCCTACATCATGCGACCGAATCAACACAGCAATAACCTGAACACATGAGCAATATCTCTCATGCTTAAGGCTATTTAATCGATATCTGGTAACAATTGTCAGGATAGGGTAATGGAGATGCCTGTGAACTCGAGCATTACGAAAGATTCAGTTGTATTACTGAGGGTTGATGGATTTGACTGGGAGACATTTTTCATGCAAGAACTTATGGACTCGCTCAAATTCAAAATTTAAAATGAAATTCAAATATTGGTGTATTTAACATTGGATTGTAATATTATTTTAATCAAATGAAAATCGCTGTCCTATTACATTTTGATAAAACTACTATTCGGCAAGAAGTTATAAGTTTTAAAGTAGCCTCACATTGTTTCGTGTCCTTTTTTACAAAAGCCACATCGTGACCAGAAAAACATGGCTAAAGACATATTTACGGGGGTGTTATTTATATAAGCATTGTTTTTTGAATCAATTCAAAATACACTAATGTTCCAATAAATTGTTGTAAAATATTTAATCCATTTATACCACAAATTCCCTTGATGACATTGAATGTCAGTATGAATACGGCTACAATTATTTCAAATACATGTACACATACACACACATATATATTTGTACATGCATGTACATGCATACACATGTGCTGGCATTCAAATTCACGACGTACACATAGCTATACATACAAATATAATATTTAAGTAGATACCTAAAGTGAAATATCAACCATGAACAAAACTACTCGTTAATTTTGTTGCCCATCTGTAATTATCAATTGTAAATATTAACATAACCACATGACCATAAAAAATTCTCGATTGCATTAACATGAAATAATCTAAAAATAACAAAAATGCAACCGCTCCCCTATTCGGAACAAATGGAATAAAAATATTCAAACAAAACAAAAAAGGAAAAAAAATAAAACACCTATGATCTACAAAAAGTATCCGGAAATAAATTAATTTATTTAATTATTTATATTAAACAAAACTATGAAATTAAATTATAAAAAACGAGTGTTAAATAAATTATGATGTAATAACTTTTAAACATTACAAAAAAAGAACAAAAGAGAAAAAAAATTGAGAATACAAAAATACATAATAATTGAAGTAATAAAAACACACACAAACTAATAATAAATGTAACAAATACATTCTAACAGTAGTGTTGTTTTATTTGAAAAAAAAAAAAAAACAATAAAAATGGTTATTTCGTTGTGGTGAGTATGATACGCTACCGTCTATTGAGAATGTTTCTGTCCTTAAACCTTCAGCATTGCTAGGAAATCAAAATAACAGTAATGAGTTACTCCTTTTGCAAATTTGAAAGCGTAAACCACGTCGAAGATGTCATAAACCCAATTTAAGAGTTATGTCCATAGTCGTCGTTCCCGTGCTCTGTTGTAATAATCTAGTCCACCACCGTGTTTCACTAAAGTCTGATATAAATAATACAAGGTGTAATATTTGCACTATATAGACTACCTTATCTTCTATATCTATAAAAGAGGAAAATGTTTGTATGTTTGTTTGTTTGTAATTTATGGACTCGAAAACCGCTGAATAGATTTTCCTGAAAATTTCCATATATACTGCAACATCGCCTGAAAGTAACATAGGCTATATACATTTTTGAATTTCCACTTGGAACTGGAGATATAGCATCAGAATCGGAGGTACCTCCCAAAAATTTAGATTTTATATTCACATATCTATTGATTGGTTGAAGATACAGTCTCCAAATTTGGAATACGTAACGGAATTTGGAACAAAAATAAGTTTGCCAAATTATATTGTAATCGGTTCAGATTTGGATATAGCTCCCATGTATATTTTCGACCGATTTCGTGCATTTGATGCCTCAAACACAATATGAATGTTCGATTCCAATGAAATTTGGAATGTGTGACGGGATTTAATCCGAAAATAAATTTGTCAAATTATATTGAAATCGGTTCAGATTTGGATATAGCTCCCATATATATTTTCGACCGATTTCATGTATTTGATGATGTATTAAAACAAATATACATTTGTCAAATTATATTAAAATCGGTTCAGATTTGGATATAGCTCTCATATATATTTTCGACCGATTTCATGTATTTTATGCACCATACACGATATGTATGTTCGATTCCAAAGAAATTTGGAATATGTAACGGGATTTTGATTAGAAAATAAATTAGTCAAATTATATTAAAATGGGTTCAAATTTGGATATAGCTCCCATATATGTTTTCCGGCGATTTCACATATTTGATGCACAAAACACAATACGTATTTCCGATTCCAATGAAATTCGGCATGAGTGGCTAAATTTGGTACAAAAATAAATTTGTCAAATTATATTCAAATACGCTCAGATTTGATTATAGCTCCCATATATATACTCAGCCGATTTCACATATTTGATGCACCCAAAGCGAGAGAGACAAAATCTGGCACCAGAAAAAATTGCCAAATTATATTGAAATCAGTTGAGGTTTGGATATAGCTACCATATATATTTCGGCCGATTTCATATATGTTATGCACCAAACATGATATATATGACCGATACCAATGAAATTCAGAATGTGTGGCGGAATTTGGTTACAATAATAAATGTGACAAATTAATTGGAAATTAGTTAAGATTTGGATATAGCTCCCATATATATATTGTCGGCCGATTTCACATATTTGACGCACCAATTTCAATGAAATATGAAAGGTGTGGAGGAGTTTGGTGTAAAAGTAATTTTTTTTTAAATTATATTTAAATCGGATCAGATTGGGATATGATTTTAATAAGAACCATTGACCCACAACGTCTTAGGCTAACACTAAAAAACAACACAACAATTGATTTGAAATACGCTTATTACGGCGAAGTATGTTGCTATCTCGAATTCACTAATTGCAATAGAAATGCCACTCAACTTCAAAAGATTGCAGTTTACTTCACGCTTGGTATTTGCTATGAAATAAATAAATCCGAAGGACAAACCCTTCGTGTATGTATGTCATGTTACTGCTTTTCTAATGGTTTTGGTTATTTATTTTTTGCAATAATTTTTATTTTTTAATTTTTAAATTTGTTTTTTTTTAACCAACATATATTCGTAAATAAAATTTTGAATGCATATAAAATCAAAAGGGGTAGCGAAGCGCACCGGGTTCAGCTAGTATAATATATATAAAATGTGTGATAATTTTTGGAAAATGTTAAAATTTGCGTGATTCACCAGATACAGTGGACCAAAGCATTCCACTTCATCTAATATGGAAAATATTGGAATGGGTAAAATTTAACACTTATTTGCAATTCTACAGGAATAAGGAGTGCACCGGAAGGAGTGTGCCGATACATACCATCTTAACAACAGATCATGTGTTGATAAAAATATTGGGGTGTGACGAATTTGAAAGGAATCGGATGATCATTCCGCGTTTTACGAGCTTCATGGTTATTCAATGAAGTGGGTCCATATAGTCCATTTTCTCACATCACCAAGCACTGACAAAAATATTCCGACTTGCAAAGTTTTCTTTTCCTCTTTTTCCTTTCTATAAGGTAAATTATTATCTTTGAACAATTTAACCTTTTGGGGGGAGGCACAAGAAGTAGTGGGCCAATGTTGCCTATCTCTGGACTCGTTTGACAGTGATATTCATAGTGTGATATAACGATCTACCAAGTTTGGACCCAGTCGGATACTCCCTTCGAGAGTTATCGTATGCACCAGCCAGCCAGACAGACGGACGGGCACCCCTGACATGGATTTGGTCCAATGAGTCCGAGGGTTAATTCGATGAGGCACGTTTTGGACGTTGGACGGTTAAGGGTATAAACAAATCAATTTAACACATCATAATATTAATATCCTACACCACTATGTAATGTTTGATTGGGCCAAAAAGTTTGTTGCACCTCGAAATATTGTTCCTTGACTTATGATGTTAAATATCCGTCTTCCAATTTCTCCGAGCTGAGTTCATCTAGCTATGTGTGCCCGTCCGTCTTTTCGTGTTAATTTGTAAGCACGCTACAGGTTATGATCCGATCCTCACGAATTGCTCGGAGTTATGGTTAGAGTCAGAATAAAAGCCTATTGTTGGCGGAAATTATCGCAAACTTTAAAGGATATAAAATGGACCAAAACTTGTTTTTTTGTTGCTGATATTGTGCTATAGATCACAATTATAAATGGTCTCGTGGGTCTGGACAAAATCAAAATCATCCTTTTGCAGGAATGGAATGGGCCATACGTGAAATATTCTTCTAATGAATGTAGATGCTTACATGGTACAAGGAGGTAGAACAGCTTCGTAAAACTACAGAAATACAGCCCTGAGGCTATGCCCGCTTCCTGTCAAATTTGAATGCAACAAGTTGTTTCTATTTATTTAATTTTTTTCCTCATTTTTTAAAGTGTCTTCAAATCATTGATTTTAAAAATATTTTGTTTTTATTTTTCAAAACAATAATTACATACGCAAACTTTGCAGAAGTCGGGCACACTAAGAAAAAAATTGTAATCAGCTGGTAGCTCTACCTTACCTTTTTATTGTACCATGGATGCTTATCAGTGTGGCCATTTTAGCATTTTTGCAGTTAAACTTACCATTTATTTTTTGTACTTAGCGGCAAAATTTTCATTTAGCATTTTACTTAGCTTTTTGAAATTATTAGTTTAGCATTTTTTAGCTTTTTATTGTCAAAAAATGTTCTTATATTTTAGTACTTTCTTATAAACCCAATTTTTCTTAAATTTAAAAAATTAAACTACATGAACATTCTGAACGAAATTACTATTTTAGAAAAGCATTGGCAAAAGGTAAGTACATATGAAGTGGCAAACACAATCTCAAAGATTTATTTTTTGATATGTGTATAAGTATTTAAAAATGATTTAAATGAAAACACATTCAAGAAATTGTCTTCTTTTGTTATGAAGTGTCTAGTTTTAACATTTAGTAACGCAGAAGTTGGAAGAGTTTTCAGTGGCATGAACCTTATAAAAGCAGAAATTAGAAATAAAATTATATTATACACTATGAATTCACTTCTTTACATTAGAAGCGGATTGAAAAGGTTAAATAAAGGTTGCGAAAGTTTTAAGATTACAAACGGTCTCATTCTATTCATCAGTCGGTGTCTAATTTTCAAATAGCAGGACTTAATACATTTTAATAAAATCATATTAAATTTAAAAACAGATGTTGGACCTTATTGGCCCTCCTTCCAAATAACCTGTGATTTAAGATTTCTCCATATGAATTGTTGTAAAAAAGATCGGAAATGCGCCATTCGTGTAATTCTTAATTCGCCTGGAATTCATTTTCAGCATTTCGGTGGAATAGACATTTTGGTATTTTTTCCCATAGAAATTTGGGGCTCATTTTATCCGCTAACTGTTATCCGATGGCTTTGTAGGGCCGATACCGAAACCCCACTTAAAATTTCCTAAGGATCGGACGATAATTATGACGTGTCAGAAAGCTTTCGGTTTTTTGTCCATTTTACGATCATCTCCAAAAATATCAGACTTTTATTTTGACACTAACATCACCTCCATCCAAGATTTCATTCTAAATATATAGTGTTGTATAGAGTAAAAATATTACAAAATGTAAAATTCAATATTGTAATTCAAAATGAAAATATCTCATGCGACAAAAATGTGACAAAATGAAAAAATATAAGAAAACATAACAAAATCAATATTCTCATCTTTATTGGGATCTTTCCATGCGTTTTTGTCTAGATTTTTTTCTTTCCTCTCAAGAGGGCATTCTAAATTGACAAGATTTGTCAAAATCAGTACAGCTATTTTTGAGATGTAAGCATTCTAGCACTATCGACATCTACGTAACGGTCAGAGTTGACCTTTTTGTCTATTTGTAATTTCACCGGTATTATGCATATTCGCGGGTTAATGGGAAAATAGTTTTTTTTTTAAACACAAAACTTATGGTCTGTTTCACCCGCTCAATATTATACGATGACCATCCAAATTAGAAAGCTTCTGCCCAGTCCTAAGGTCTAGCCCCATGCTAAGTTCCGCGTCGATTGGTCTATAATTGTGACCTGTACCGTGATTGCAAATTAACATCGTTAGATCGGCTCACTTCAACG